TCGCGGTATTGAAGCTTCTAGTGAGGGATGCCTCGTCGAGGGCTGGGGCGTTGAAGGAAGCTATTCGCGTGCACGAATCCCAACGGGCATTGGAGAGGGATGCTGCGGCCTTTAGAGAAGCCAGTCTCGAGGAGCGGATCGGTGTCTTTGAGCAGGACACCCAAGTCATGGCGGACCGGATCACAACCTTAGAAGAAGAGAATCAGCGCCTACGGGATCAAGTCGCTTCTTCCAGCCAGGCTCGAGAACTTTGGGTCTTTGCCGAGGCCCAACGTGATGTATATAAGAATTTTTGGGAGGCCGGCGTCGTGACCGAAGCTGCTTTCGAGGGGGCGCGTCAAAAGGCTCGTGAGGCCGGTGCCGACTGTGGTTTTGACGCGGCGACGCCAGAGGATGACGCCGGTGCAGATGCTGGCGCAGATGGCGTCGAGTAAAAAGATGTTATGCATTTTTTCTTCTCTTTTTCTCTTTCCTTGTATTGATCGGCCTTGGCCGGGTGTAAGCGGGGATCACCCGCAATTAATTTCATGGATAAATGAGATCTCCGTTCCGTTATTTTCCTTGTATATGTTTCGTACCTCCTCTTTTTTCCCTTTTAGATTTTTCTTTGCATGCGCGCGAAGGGGTGATTTGCCTTCGAGTTCGACTCTGGTAGGCATTTTAGTTTTTAATTGCTGACGACTCTTCTTCTTCGACTCGGGGTGAGCGAGTCGGAGCCGTTGCTTGGCGATAGCGGCACTTAGCCTTAGTCCCAGTTCGGGCGCGGTCGAATTGTCGGCCCTGATGACAGAAATGCGGCCTTGTAGTTTGACCGGGGCCGGACTTTACGTGTCCCCAATCTTAGTTTTAGTTGGGAGTACTTACTTGAAGGGCGAGGGCGCCTAACCTGCGCCGCGATTCGTTGGAGGTTGGGTTTTGCTGAGTTCAATGATGAAGGCGCTTGGTCCGAGTCCTGGTTCAACTATGGTTGAACTTGTTAGATTTGAGGACGAAGGCGTCTAGACTTATGGTTCAAGCGAGGTCGAACTCGTTGGGTTTGATGGCGAAGGCGCGTAGCCTGAGTATTGGTTCGACCGTAGCTAAACTTACTGGCGAAGGCGCATGGGCTTGATACAATTTGGAGGCGCGNCCCAGTTCAAGTGTTGTTGAACTTGGTCGATTTTGATGGCGAAGGCGCGTAGCCTGAGTCCCAGTTCAACTGTTGTTGAACTTGGTCGATTTTGATGGCGAATGAGCATAGCCTGAGTCCCAGTTCAACTATTGTTGAACTTGGTCGATTTTGATGGTGAAGGCTCATGGCTTGAGTCCCAGTTCGACTGTTGTTGAACTTGGTCGATTTTGATGGCGAAGGCGCGTAGCCTGAGTCCCAGTTCAACTGTTGTTGAACTTGGTCGATTTTGATGGCGAAGGCGCGTAGCCTGAGTGTTGGTTTAACCGTAGTTGAACTTCTTGGCGAGGGCGCATAGCCTTGATTTAATGACGAAGGCCCTTAGCCTGAGTCTTAGTTTAACCGTAGTTGAACTTCTTGGCGAGGGCGCATAGCCTTGATTTAATGACGAAGGCGCTTAGCCTGAGTCTTGGTTCAACCGTAGTTGAACTTACTGGCGAAGGCGCATAGCCTGAATCTTGGTTCAACCGTAGTTGAACTTACTGGCGAAGGCGCATAGCCTGAATCCCAGTTCAACTGATGGCGAAGGCTCATGGCCTGAGTCCCAGTTCAACTGTTGTTGAACTTTGTCGATCTTGATGGCGAAGGCTCATGACCCGAGTCCCAGTTCAACTGTTGTTGAACTCTGTCAATTTTGATGGCGAAGGTTCATGGCCTGAGTCCCAGTTCAACTGTTGTTGAACTTTGTCGATCTTGATGGCGAAGGCTCGGCCTGAGTCCCATTTCAACTGTTGTTGAACTTGGTCGATTTTGATGGCGAAGGCGCGTAGCCTAAGTCTTGTTTTAACCGTAGTTGAACTTCTTGGCGAGGGTGCACAACCTTGATTTAATGACGAAGGCACTTAGCCTGAGTCTTGGTTTAACCGTAGTTGAACTTCTTGGCGAGGGCGCATAGCCTTGATTTAATGACGAAGGCGCTTAGCCTGAGTCTTGGTTCAACCGTAGTTGAACTTCTTGGGGAGGGCGCATAGCCTAGATTTAATGACGAAGGCGCTTAGCCTAAGTCATAGTTCAATCGTATTTGAACTTTGTCAATTTTGATGACGAAGGCGCATAGCCTGAGTCATGGTTCAACCGTAGTTGAACTTACTGGCGAAGGCGCATGGCCTGAGTCCCAGTTCAACTGTTGTTGAACTTGGTCGATTTTGATGGCGAAGGCGCGTAGCCTGAGTCCCAGTTCAACTGTTGTTGAACTTGGTCGATTTTGATGGCGAAGGCGCGTAGCCTGAGTGTTGGTTTAACCGTAGTTGAACTTCTTGGCGAGGGCGCATAGCCTTGATTTAATGACGAAGGCGCTTAGCCTGAGTCTTGGTTCAACCGTAGTTGAACTTACTGGCGAAGGCGCATAGCCTGAATCTTGGTTCAACCGTAGTTGAACTTACTTGGCGAAGGCGCATAGCCTTGATTTAATGACGAAGGCGCTTAGCCTGAGTCCCAGTTCAACTGTCATTGAACTTCGTCAATTTTGATGGCGAAGGCGCATAGCCTGAGTCTTGGTTCGACCATAGTTGAACTTCTTGGCGAAGGCGCATAGCCTTGATTTAATGACGAAGGCGCTTAGCCTGAGTCTTGGTTTAACCGTAGTTGAACTTACTGGCGAAGGCGCATAGCCTAGATTTAATGACGAAGGCGCTTAGCCTGAATCCCAGTTACACTGTTGTTGAACTTGGTCGATTTTGATGGCGAAAGCGCGTAGCCTGAGTCATAGTTCAACTGTATTTGAACTTTGTCAATTTTGATGACGAAGGCGCATAGCCTGAGTCATGGTTTAACCGTAGTTGAACTTCTTGGAGAGGGTGCATAGCCTTGATTTAATGACGAAGGCGCTTAGCCTGAGTCTTAGTTTAACCGTAGTTGAACTTCTTGGCGAGGGCGCATAGCCTTGATTTAATGACGAAGGCGCTTAGCCTGAGTCTTGGTTCAGCCGTAGTTGAACTTACTGGCGAAGGCGCATAGCCTGAATCTTGGTTCAACCGTAGTTGAACTTATTGCGAAGGCGCATAGCCTTGAATCAATGACGAAGGCGCTTAGCCTGAGTCTTGGTTCAACCGTAGTTGAACTTACTGGCGAAGGCGCATTGCTTAGATTTAATGGCGAAGGCGGATAGCCTGAGTCTTGGTTCAACCGTAGTTGAACTCACTGGTGAAGGCGCATAGCCTGAATCTTTGTTCAACTGTAGTTGAACTTACTGGCGAAGGCGCATAGCCTAGATTTAATGGCGAAGACGCATAGCCTGAGTCTTGGTTCAACCGTAGTTGAACTTACTGGCAAAGGCGCATAGCCTTGATTTAATGGCGAAGGCGCATAGCCTTGATTTAATGACGAAAGCGCTTAGCCTAAATCTTGGTTCAACCTTAGTTGAACTTACTGGCGAAGGCGCATAGCCTGAGTCTTGGTTCAACCGTAGTTGAACTTACTGGCGAAGGCGCATAGCCTTGACTTAATGGCGAAGGCGCATAGCCTGAGTCTTGGTTCAGCCGTAGTTGAACTTACTGGCGAAGGCGCATAGCCTGAATCTTGGTTCAACCGTAGTTGAACTTACTGGCGAAGGCGCATAGCCTGAATCTTGGTTCAACCGTAGTTGAACTTACTGGCGAAGGCGCACATCCTAAATCTTGGTTCAATCGTAGTCGAACTTACTGACGAAGGCGCATAGCCTTGAATCCCAGTTCAACTGTTGTTGAACTTTGTTGATCTTGATGACGAAGGCTCATGGCCTGAGTCCCAGTTCAACTGTTGTTAAACTTTGTCGATCTTGATGACGAAGGCTCATGGCCTGAGTCCCAGTTCAACTGTTGTTAAACTTTGTCGATCTTGATGACGAAGGCTCATGGCCTGAGTCCCATATTGTGGGTATTGAGTGCTGAAGCTCGGTTTGGATTCGAGACCTTGAGCGGCTCATCCGTTGTCTTCCCAACCAGGGTATATAGGCTGTCTTGAGGCGACTCTCGGCTCGAGATATCTCCGTGCCGGTTTCTGGCCGGAGCTCGTATTAGGGATGTGGGAGATGCCTTACAGAGACCTCCCCTTAGGAGGGGGGGGGGGGCGTTCTTCTTTTTGTTTGCACTATCTGAGATCGGAGAGAGAGAGAGGACTTAGATCTTGATTTGAGATCTTCGAGTTCCCCTTCGAGTTTGGCGTTTCTTTCCTTTTGGTCCAGGGAAGAACTACACGATTTTGCTAGGAAATCCCCACAGACGGCGCCAAATTGTTTGCTCAAAAGTTATCGCATATCTTATGAGTATAAAACAATATAAGTAAATCACGGGAAAATCATAGCAAAACGTAATAATCCATTGGACCAAATGAAGGAGACGAAAATAAGTACTCAGGATTAGGGGGAGAAACATTAGAAGGCTTTATTGATAATATTGGTTTGGTCTGCCTCTCCATGAAGAGGTTCACAGCCTTACAATGGTGTTCCTCTTGCCCATAATATGGGTCTCGTTATCTCTTTTTTCTCTCGTCAATAGTGAAGAAGAAGAAGCCCCCCTTTCTAGGGTTTCCTCTCTTAGTATTTATAGCTGTGAGCTTCTTGAGCTGGCAATAAGTGGCCGTGACCACGTTGGGATTTCGCCTTCATGGTGGCGGATGGGCCATGGCCTTACTAATCGAATCAGATGCGGGTTGAATATCGTTAATTCTGAGTGGTCGTGCCACTAATTAATCATGAATTAGCTTAAGACGGGATTAGCTTCGTTAATTATCGTGGGGTCGGATTCTGATCCATACAAGAAGTAAATTAAATAGAATTAGAAAAGAAAAAGAGCCATTATACTTGTGCGATTTTGAAAGGTATGGTTTAGTTGATAATTACCAGAAAAGCGCTAACCTTGAATAATTATACGCTGGCTAAATGTGCAATTGCTTATTTGACTCTTGCAATCCTCCCAGACATGTTGAGGATCGAGGTATTTAGGAACCAAAATATTTTCAATCTGGAGTTAGAGTGTCTGATCAGTAGATGGAATTTCTTTTAGATTTTACAGAAACAAAAGAAAGTAACGAATTAAATTCCTAAATCAAGGAAATTAGCATGTCTCCTTGACCTGCCAAGAGTCATAGGCTGAATTGATTATAAAAAATGGAGTCTGAACGTATGGAACGACATTCTGAGGAAAAAGGCACTGCATTAAGGACAACGCATGTTATAAATAGAGGGCAGTATTTATAATATAGTATAAGGAAAATATTTTTAAATTGTGACTCTTACCAAACTTGGTTCCATTGCAGACGTGCAAGATAAAGGCAAATTCTTAGCTGATCCCTTCAAGGAGAGGAAAGAAATATATTATGGTAGCACAAAAGAATCTAACTTACATCTAGTAATTCATAAGTACATATAGCTTACTAAAACAAATTGTGAGACTCACATGTAACCTAACAACTCTCTGATATATCTCTTGAATATCATAAGTACCAGAGATTGTCTTCCTGCATAAATCATGAAACTTGAGTTCCAATGGCATAGACGTAAATCAATAAGATGATAACCATTTAATTTCTTGAGTCATTGCTTATTGCATTGCAAGAAAAGCTCACGCGTTGATGAAGAAGCCTGCATCCGCAACGCACTTGACTTTGGCATCATTCGAAAGGAGGGACTTGAACTTGTCACAGTTCAAGATTGTAGCCAATCCTCCTACTGAAGTACCGCATAGGATTGCCTAACATATTGCATTTTGGTTTTTCCAGATTTAGCCAATTGCAATTTTTTTTGTAAAAATGTATATTAAGTATAGCATGTGACGTTGTGTTATGAATTTGGGATTAGAGAGTGAATTCAGTGGAATCTTACATTTTCAGCATTCTGCATTCCTTTCCCAATTAAATCATTCATAATTGCATTGAAGATTCTTGCCCCTCTATAGTAAAGTTTGGTATCCTAATGTGGATTGACATTTCAAATCAGTAAAGCTTTATGCAAAGCAGAACAAATACCAGTGAAATTAATATTTGAATACAAGGGGTAGTACACTTACAGGGTCAATATCTTCAACGTCTCCCGTAAAAGATGATCCATCACAATATCTAACCCTGACTCTATTCCAGTTGTAAAACTCTACCAACTCAAATGTCTACAATTAGTAGTGCTAAAAAGTACTAAAAAGTTACAGATACGACAACAAAAACTATTATTAAATTATACGTAATTAATTGAAATATGAGCTTCACCTGGATTGGTTCTTGGATCGTTATGAAGAATCTCCGAAAACTTAGCTTGTGGCGGCTGCATCTTCATGGAAGAACCTAAGTCGCTAGTTGAACGACTACGGCAATCCGGGATGCTCTGACACCAACCACCGCCCTAAAGATAGAATTTATCCAGAGTTATCAATACTGAAAAGAAGATAGAAGAAGAAAAAGAAGTAAATGTAACTAACGTCAATGGCAATGATCCAGCTGCGAAGTCCTGTGCCATATCCCCGATCAAGATGATAGGCTGGCGGGCTCCCGTCAAGACAAACTGTTGATGATTCGAAAACAAATTAAATACTTAGTATACAAGTCTGCATGCCATTCTCTTTTCTTTGTTGCTTAATGTACTATGTAGTAAATATTATACCTGCGCCTTCAGCAGTGGCGCTGTGAAGTATGGTGATGTTAACTATCAGTTCTTTTTGAGCTATAATAGTTGTCAACATTGCTAGCAAAAGTAACAAGAAGGTTGCCATCCTGCAAAATCTTCAAATAATTAAGCTGTTGTTTTTATCGTGCTTATAATATTGCATATGTGAAAAGCCTATATCAACATTTGTAAGGAGAACTAAAGCATTGCCAAATTTTAGCTAGTTAAAACAATGAAGAAGACAAAGAGTATAAGCGATAACAAGAAGAAAGAGATGCAGTGAAAGAATACGTTTGTTCTTCTTAATTAGAAAGGCTGATGATAGAAAGGAGTTTAATTTTTTTTTCCCCCGAGAGAAAGCAATTATAGTAGAGGACTAGAGGTAAATGAGTTGGTCTGACAGTTCGGCTCTATTTATAATACCAATGCCAGTAATACTATTTTGCATGCCAGTAATTAATACTATGGTTCTAAAATATAGAGAAAACAAAATACTCCCTCCGGTCCAAAATAAGTGATTTTTTGGCCTTTTTCTTGTGGTCCAAAATAAGTGATTTTTTCAGATTTCAAGAATGAATTAATTATTTTTTTCCTACATTGTCCTTGGAGTAAATAGTGTTGGAATATGTGTTAGGAGTGTTTATGTGAGATAGTAAAGGTTAATATGGTCAATTCCATTGCTAATTAATGCTAAAAGGTGGATTTCTTAATCTGTATAAAAACATCCAAAAAATCACTTATTTTGGACCGGAGGGAGTATCTGTGTTGGGAGAATAGCTCCATGCATGTGCCAATCGCCATCACTTCCTTACTTCTTTTCTTCTCGTCTCAAACAAATCACGTGGTTTCTCTTGCCACATTTGGCGGTAGAAACAAAATATGTTCACAGACAAAATTACCTCTTTTGACTTGTTTTATCTTTTTTTAAACAATTGAACTCATGGGTTACTCTTGCTATTTGGCAGTAGAAATTAAAATTTTCCATAACCATCTTCTTTTCTTGACAGTGAAATTTTACTCTCTTCGCTTCTTTTGTCAATTCGGCTGTAGAAATTAAAATATGCCATAACCTTCTTCTTTTCTTGATGCTATTCGGCAGTAGTTATTGTAATTTCCCATAACCTCCTTTTCTTGGCAGCGAAAAATAGCTCTCTTTACTTCACTGCTTCTCTTTTTAAACAATTCACATGGGTCCGTCTTGCTATTTGGCGACACTTTTTATACAGCTACTAGTACAGTTTAATATGCTAATATCAAGTTTTTTACTGTTCTTTCTAAATAAGCAGTCAATGATTATTATGAAATACTTTACTTTGTGTCTCAACTGACACTAGTTGTATTAGGTTTTGTATACGGGCGAGATCAGGAGGCTCGATTTCGCAATCATTGCGTCTCTCCCTTAGCCTCGAAAAGGCCCCGAAGATCCGTGGACGCAGCTCGAGGCTTCGACCTCTATGGCCCTTCGTGCTCGACCTCGATGCAGCAGGAGTCAGTGGTTATCAAAGGTAAGCGGGAAGTTCCCTAGGCATGCGGTCCGAGCTGACATTACCTGCAAGAATAGTACCAGTCTGCGCTAGACTATTAGGTAGTTGTGCCAGCTATCTTACTTTGTAATAAATGCTTCTGTACTATTTTTGGGTTCTCCCTCATATAAAAGGGGTCCTTGTCATTTTGTAGACATCTGTTGCTCAATACTAAATAGACAAGAACATTCTCTCTGCTCTCTAACGTATTCTCTTGAGTTCATTACTTCCATTTATTGCTTACATTCATCGTGTTCTATTTATTGTTTTTCATTTATTGCTTATTATTGACCATAAAAAGCCATCATTAAATTTATCATAATTGTTAGTCCCTCCATCGACTTCCTACGACAGGGTATAAGACTCGACCTCGAGGCCCCGCTTACCAGCCTATTGGTCCGGTTATCACCTTGTGTTCAAGCTCTCTCGTTTTCTAATCTCTTACTTAACATCTACTGGCTAAACAACTAGCATAAAATAGATCACGTATTTTTAGAACCACAAAATCAAATCTAATTGTAATTACAATTTTCAAGGTAAACAGTTTGGCGCCCACCGTGGGGCTAAAAATAATAGTAATTATTTCTTGCTGGTTTAGCTACGTAACGCGAGTTATCTTTCACACTTTTTCTTGTCCAAGATCTTGATTTCAGGTCAAAATGTCCAACACAGTAAACGCACGCGAAAACATCAATCTCGGAGACCATGGAGAAAATGGTGTTGACGTCCCAGGTGTTGGTGTGCCACCACCAAAACCTTGACAATGCACCAGAACTAATTCCCGTGGACGTGGTTTCACGCGATGCCCAACACATCGATATAAGCTCTCACATTAACAATAGCGAACATCGAGTGATTCAGCATGGATGACTTTAGTGTGGTTGGTGACCTTTTTGATGAATGCATGGTAAATTTGGATAGAGTCTTGGCCCGTTGCGAAGAAACTAACCTCGTTCTCAATTGGGAAAAATGCCATTTTATGGTTGAAGAAGGTATAGCGTTGGGTCACAAGATTTCAAAACATGGGATTGAGGTAGACAAGGCAAAGATTGAGGTGATTTCAAGGCTCCCTCCCCCTACTTCTGTCAAAGGGGTGAGGAGTTTTCTTGGGCATGCCGGGTTCTACCGGCGGTTTATCAAAGACTTCTCGAAGGTTGTGAATCCACTTTGCAAGTTGCTAGAGAAAGATGCCAAGTTTGTTTTTGATGAAAAATGCATGGAGGCCTTTGAACTTTTAAAGCACAAGTTGACCACTACCCCTATCATAACCGCACCTAATTGGATTTTACCCTTTGAACTAATGTGTGATGCTAGTGATGTTGCAGTAGGGGCGGTGTTGGGTCAACGGGTTAACAAAATGTTCCATCCCGTGTATTATGCAAGTAAGACTATGAATAAAGCTCAACGGAATTACACGGTGACAGAGAAGGAGTTTTTGGCAATTGTATTTGCCATGGAGAAAATTCGGCCTTATCTTATGGGGGCCAAGGTGATTGTGCACACGGACCATGCCGCCCTTAGGTATTTGATGACCAAGAAGGATTCCAAGGAAATATTGATGAGATGGGTGTTACTTCTTCAAGAATTTGACTTAGAAATAGTGGACCGGAGGGAAGTGAGAACCAAGTTGCGGACCATTTGTCCCGGTTGGAGGAAGAAGGGAGGCCATGTGATGGCCATGAGATAAATGATACATTCCCGGACGAGCAACTTCTTTCTGTGTCAATGTGTGACATGGCATGGTTCGCGGACATCGCCAACTTCATTGTGACCAGAATTGACCTGTGTGAGCTCTCTTCTAACCAAAGGAAGAAACTCAAGCGGGATAGTTTGGATTTTTATTGGGATGATCCGTAGTTGTTTAAAATTTGCACGGATTGTGTGATTAGAAGATGTGTCCCGGAAGGTGAACAATTGAGCATTTTGGAGGCTTGTCACTCCTCCCCCTATGGTGGCCATCATGGAGAGGTGAGGACAGGTTCAAAGGTTTTGAGTTGCGGTTTCTATTGGCCGACTTTGTTTAAAGATGCTAGTCACTTGGATAAGAGATGTGATGCATGCCAAAGAGCAGGCGGAATTTCAAAAAGGGATGAGATGCCTCTCAATACGATTCTCGAGGTGGATATTTTTGATGTTTGGGCCATCGATTTCGTGGGTCCTTTCGTGAGCTCTTGTGGGAACACTTATATTCTCGTGGCGGTGGACTATGTCTCGAAGTGGGTTTAAGCTGTGGCTTTACCCAACAATGAAGCCCGGAGTGTTGTGGCATTTTTGAAAAAGAGTATCTTCACAATGTTTGGCACCCCTCGTGCTATCATTAGTGATGGGGGGTCTCAATTTTGCAACAAGGCTTTTGATTCGTTGCTTGCCAAGTATGGAGTAAATCACAAAGTGACCGCCCCTATCATCCTCAAGCTAGTGGTCAAGTGGAAGTCTCCAACCGAGAAATAAAGAGTATCCTGTCCAAGACGGTTAATGCTAATAGGACAGATTGGTCGAAAAAGTTGGATGACGCTTTATGGGCGTACCGGACGGCTTACAAGACCCTAATTGGTATGTCCCCGTACCGGTTGGTGTTTGGGAAAGCTTGCTATGTTTGGGCCTTGAGAAAGTTGAACTTGGAATGGGATGTTGCAGCGAATCTCCGTGTTGAGCAACTTAATGAGCTTGATGAGTTTAGATTTCATGCCTACTCCAGCTCGTCCTTGTATAAGGACAAGATGAAGTATTGTCACGACAAATATGCTCGGGACAAGGAATTCAAAATTGGTGATATGGTTCTTCTTTTCAACTCCTGCTTACGTTTGTTTCTGGGAAAGCTCAAACCAAAGTGGAGTGGGCCATTTGAAGTTGTGTTCGTGACCCCATTTGGTGCTCTTAATCTAAGGAACAAGAATGGTGAAATATTCAGAGTCAATGGACATCGTGTGAAGCATTATCTTGGGAAGATTGATGATTGCCAAGTGGTGGCTATGGTGAATTTAAAATGATGTGTTGGTAACCCGCGTCGTGCCGCGACATTAAACCAGGCGCTTCTTGGGAGGCAACCCATGTCTTTTCCTTTCTCTTTGATTTTCTTTGTAGCTTAGGATTTTTGAGATAATTGTTTGTGAGATGTTTCAGGGATTGTGTTGAAGCAGTGCAAAATTTTTTTGTAGTCTCTGATGTTTGCTAGTGCGGCCGTGGTGCATGTTTGCGCGGTCCGCGCTGGCATGATCCAAATATAATGCTCTTTGAAGTTTTCCACCGCTGCCGCGGTCAAGTTTGTGCGGGCCGCGGTGGACCTTCGCGGCCGCGGTACATATTAACGCGGTCGTGCCAAGGTTGCCTTCTGAAACATCATATGTTGAAACCCAGCGCGGTCTGCGGTCGCTTTTGTGCGGCCGCGCTGGTAGGTAAGTGAGGGGCCCACGTGTTGTCTATAAATAGAGACCAAGGGTTTCATTTTACCCTTTCCGCACTTTGAAAACCCAGAGCCATAATTGTACTGTTCATCCCTCTTCTAAGACCGTAACTCTTACTTGCTTGGACTAGTTGCATTCAAGCTTCAAAAACCTGGTAACATTTCATGCAGTTGTGATTAATTAATTTTATATTTTCATTTTTATGGCTTGCCCAGTAGCTTTAGCTTCTTCTTTTTATTTAATTGTTAGTTTAGGATAGTTTAAAATCGGGGTTATGTGCTGAATGTGCTTAATCAATGGGTGAACTGAGTTGGGACAAAGTAGGTGTAAAAACTTGAACAAGAATGGCAAGAATGCAACCCTAACTTAGTGCCCGTAAACCCTAGCTCAACACGGACCGCGGTCGCCGTTGCGCGACCGCGCTGCCCTGACGCGATCCGCGTTGCATTTTAG